TGTGTGTGTGTGTGTGTGTGTGTGTGTGTGTGTGTGTGTGTGTGTGTGTGTGTGTGACTAGGGATTGGACCTGGGGCCTCACAAATGCTAGACAAGTGGTGTGCCAGGGAACTGAAACCCAGAGCAATTCCTAGGACTTTCCGTGTAAGCTACAGTAATGCTTCTATTTCCACCCTCTCCTCAGGCTCAGTGTTTAGAGAGTGAGAAGCACGGAGTCCTCAACAAAATCCTGAAAGGCAACATTCGCCTGGGAAAGCTGGAGGAGAGGGTGAAGGTAAGCGGCCATCAGTGCCCCCACGTGAAAGGGAGTCTGTGCGGCATGTCTGTCTCTCACACAGGAAGAAAAGCTGGGCTGGGCTTTGCCGGCAGACAGCACCTTGTGCCTCCTCAGATAAGCTGTGGTTTGCTGCACCGTGAAACACTAAGCAATTGTTTGTTTAAAAGAAAAATACAAGGAAGTCTGCTGGCTCCATGGTTAAATGATGTCACTAAAAAAACATGTTTTTTTTTAAGTTTTTGTTTTGTTTTGTTTGTTTTTTTAAACATGGAAATATAAAAGCTGTATACAATTCTTTTTTGTTTTTCGAAACAGGGTTTCTCTGTATAACAGCCCTAGATGTCCTACAACTGGCTTTGTAGACCAGGCTGGCCTTGAACTCACAGAGATCCAATAAAAGGCATGTGCCACCACCACCCGGCCCCACTTCTTTTTTAAGAAGAGACATATCAGCTTGGTGGTGGTGCACACCTTTAATCCCAGCACTTGGGAGGCAGAGGCAGGAGGATCTCTGTGAGTTTGAGGCTAGCCTGGTCTATAAAACCAGTTCTAAGACAGTCAGGACTTTTATACAGAGAAACCCTGTCTCCGAGAGAGAGAGAGAGAGAGAGAGAGAGAGAGAGAGAGAGAGAGAGAGAGAGAGAGAGAGAGAGAGAGACTGAGAGAGACTTCTTTTTATTTTATGTGTCTGAGTGTTTACCCGAATGTATGTCTGTGCCATGAACATTCCTGGTGCCTGCAGAGATCAGAAAGTAGCAGATCCCCTGAACCCAAGTTATAGATGGTTGTGAGCCAAACCTAGGTCTCCTCTGGAAAAGCTGCCCCTGCTCTTAAGTACTAAACCATCTCCCAAGACTCCTAGATGTATTTTTTATTATTTTTATTTTTTATTTTTATTTTTTCCCCGAGACAGGGTTTGTCTGTGTAGCTCTGGCTGTCCTGGAAGTCACTCTGTAGACCAGGCTGGCCTTGAACTCAGAGATCTGCCTGACTCGACCTCCCGAGTTCTGAGATTAAAGGTGTGCACCATCACCTCCTAGCAATTTTTTAAAATTCATTTTTTATTTTATGTGTATGGGTATCTTGTCTACATATATGTTTGGCCATCATGTGGGATCCTCTGGAACTGGGGTTAAGGATGGTTGTTAACCACATGTGGGTGCTGGGAATTGAACTTGGGTCCTCTGCAAGGGCAGCCAGTGGTTGTAACTGCCGAGCCACCTCTCCAGCCTCAAGACTCATTTTTCAGCTTTATCGTATTTAGTGTCTGTGTGTGGTACATGTGTGTCTTGGCTGCATGCAGCATGCATGGGTGACCTAAGACACTTGGTGGAGTTGGTTCTCCTTCCTGCTTCATGCAGGTTTCCTGGGATCACACTCCAGGCCTTGGCAGGTGGCATGCAGCTTGCCCACTGAGCCCGTCTGAACACTTCCAAAACTGATGTCAGAGGTTTAGATGCATAACTCCCGTAGAATTGATATCCTAACATAATCCTAATGGTCGGTGTTCATATTCACTCTGCCTTAGGAGTTGGCTGGGCAGACTGGAGAGATGGCTCGGTGATTAGAGCCTTAAATATTACATGAAAGGCCTAGGGACGCTTGAGGACCTGAATCACACGGAAAGGGAGGGGACAATCCAGTTGCTTCTCTCTTTTTTGTTGTTATTACTAGAGAGGGAACCCAGCACCATTTGTATGCTAGGCAAGCACTGAGCCACTGAGCTACATCCCAGCCCTTGCTGAGTTCTTATATGAGACATCTTTGATAAAGCAAAACAGTGTTGACATTCTTTCTCAAGCTGCCAGTCTATGAAAGGATTGTCCATGAAGAATGCAGACGTAGGCATGTGGCTCACTGCATAGAGCTTGCCTAGCATGCATGAGACCCTAAGTTTGATCCTCAGCACTGTATAAAGTTGGATTTGATGGTGCACACCTGTAATCCCAACATGGGAGGTGGAGGCAGAAGGATCCCGAGTTCAAAGGTCACCTTCAGCTATATGTGGAGTTTGAAGGTAGCCTGGGCTACATAAGGCCCTGCCTTAAAAATATAACAAACAAATAGAAATTGCAGTAGATTAATTTTGTAAAAACATCCAATTGGGTCTATGATGCAGATATTTTATGTTTAGCATATTAATCCCAGAAAAATCAGATATAATATAGATTAGAAATTTGGTTTTCCTTTTCATATTTTATTTTGTTTTTAATCATGTATGTGTCTGTATGTGTGTGTGTGCATGTGAGTACAGGTGCCCTTGGAAGCCAGAAGAGGGAGTCAGATCCCCTGAAGCTGGAGTTGTGGTTGTGAGCTGCCCACATGGGTGCTGGGTCCTCTGTAAGTATGTGCTCTTAACCACTGAGCCATCTCTCAGGTTTTCTTAGACCTGAAATTCTTTTGTATCCTTTTAAAATTTTGTTTTCTTGAGTCTGAGTCTCACTGTGTAGCCCAGGTGACCTCAAACTCATGTTTGTCTCTGCCTCCCACGTGCTGGGATTACCCACCAGTGTTACACAATGCTGGGGCCCACATCTCGGGCTTTGTGTGTGTGCCAGGCAAGCACTCTTCCCAAGCTCCAGCTGCACATGGTCCTTCAGTCCTTTTAAAGCCCAGACTTGCCTTCCAGTTCAGCGCTGTCTGAGGCCCACCCAGCCATTCGGCTCCGACTCCCAAGAGGCGCTTGCTCACTGCCTGCCTTCCCTCAGGAGTACAAGAAGCAGGCAGCATTGAAGCTGGGTGACATCCATCATCGCCTGGCGGAGCAGCAGGAGGACTTCGCTGGCAAAGCAGCTCAGTACCAGAAGGAGATGAGGTACCTGCATCGGATGCTGCAGGAAAAGCAAGAGGTCCTGGACGAGGCACTGCAGCAGAAAAGGTAGGTGCATGAGCCTGCACACGTGAGCAAGCAGCAGCCCAAAGAGCACCTCAGGTCCCTGCCTCCCACTCCACGCCTGTTCCTTTGAGGCAGAGTCTCTCTATTGTCCTGGGGCTTGCATTTTCTCAGCTAGACGGGAAGCCGGCCAGCCCCACAACCCTGTCTTTTCCCATCCTGGGAACTTAGGTGTGTGTTTTGGGTGCCTGCTTTCTTACTCGGGGCTGGGATCCAAACTCCAGTCCTCATGGTTGCATAGCAAGTGCTCGTAATCACTGAGCCAGCTCTCCCTCCAGCCCGTTCACATTTTTGTTCTCTCTCTCTGTCTCTGTGTCTGTCTGTCTGTCTGTCTGTCTGTCTCTCTCTCTCTCTCTCTCTGTATGCTTGTTTTTAGACTCTGTAGTCCAAAGTCTTTTTGCCTCAGCCCCCCAAGTCCTGGGATTGCAAGCACACATTAACAATACTTAGCTATCATTTTTAAAAAATAGATGGTCCATTGTCTTAGGGTTTATTCTATTGCTGTAAAGAGACACCATGACCATGGCAACACTTATAAAGAAAGCATTTGATTGGGGGCTTGCTTACAGTTTCAGAAAGTCCATTATCATCATGACGGGGTGGTGGGGAGCATGGCAACATCCAGACAGCCATGGTGCTGGAGAAGTATCTGGGAGCTACGTTTGTAGGCAGCAGGCAGAAAGAATGACAGAGAGACAGACAGAGAGAGATGGGGTGGGGGGCTTTTGAAACCTCAAAGCCCACCCCCAGTGACACACCTCCTCCAACAAGGCCACACTTCCTAATCCTTCCAAAACAGTTAACTAAGGACCAGGCATGCAAGTCTGTGAGCCCGTGGGGTCTTCTTACTCAAACCTCCACATTCATCTTTATCCCTGTCATCCAGGTGTGGCAGCCTGTTCCTGTAATCTTGGGAAGTGGAGGCAGGAGGATCAGGAGTTCAAGGTCATCCTTGGCTACATAGTGACGCCAGCCTGGGCTTTGTGAGACCTTGTCTCAAAAAATACTCCTCCTTTGGGACCAGAGAGGGACACATGTGGTGCCCAGACATACATGCAGTCAAAACACTTATACACATAATAGTAAAAAATAACAGTTTTTAAAAACCTGTATAAAAATAAGTTTTTTATCACTTTGTATTCTACAGTTTTGCTGTGTGTTCAAAAGTTTCTTCTTATTCCTCCACTGGGTATAAATATTAATGTGTTATAAAAAGCATGGATTCTGGGACTGTGTGTCTTTCATTAGATCTACAAAATTTCAGTCATCATCTCTCTGGGTTATTGGTTTGTTTTGAGATTCTCCTGCCTCTGCCTTGCAATTGCTGGGATTAAAGGCTCACCCTGAACTTCTGGATGACCCTCATGTACTGTGTGAAACAATCCTTTTCTATATTATGAATATGTATTCCTCTCATTGGTTTAAAAAAAGCTGACAGGCTGGTAGCTAAGCAGGAAGTTAGGCGGGAAAGCCAAACTAAGAATGAATGATGGGAAGAAGGAGGGCCGAGTCAGGGAGACACCAGTCAGCTGCTGAAAAAACAGGATGTCTAGAAATGGGGCAACAAGCCTGAGCTATTGGCTGAGCATTTGTAAGTAATATTAAGCCTTGGAGTGATTATTTGGGATCAGGCAGTCGGGACAGGAAACATCTGATTACACTTATGCCTCAGCTTTCTGAATGCTGAGGTTACAGGCATGCATCACCACACTGGCTAAGAAACACAATTACACACAAACAAACACGCATGCATACACATAAATGTGTGTGAATGTCTGATTGTTTCTCAGTATCCTTGTGGAACCCAGATTAGGTACAGGTCAGGGCCTCTTGCTGAGTCCTATACTTGGTACCTTTCAAAATTTCCAGCTGTTAGCTTTTCTGATCTACATTTTCAGTGGATTGTATGTCTGTCTGTCTTGTGCTCAGTCTTTCTATTTTAATTCTTTCTTCATCTGTGCTCAGCATTGGGCCTTCCCAGGCCTGATGTTTTGGTTCAGCACCATTGTGAGACTAAAGCCAGAAACACACCTTGCAGGCTAGCGTTCTATTTGCAGTTAAGACTGTTAAGAATAAGTTGCTCTTTTCTTGTGTTTGTTTGACCCATTAGCACTGGATGTGCTTGAGCACAAGTGGGCAGGAGATACGTCAGGAGGTGTGCTTGCCCCTGATTGGACCTGATGGGGGTTGTGATGAATTACGAGTTTTGCCTTTTTAAGCCCCGGTGAAACATGACTCGTGGCCATTTCCTGGGAACCTGGAGTCCATCCATCTGCCCACTATTTAATTAAATAAAATGTCAAATTTGGCTTTAAATTGTGGTAGTGGTCTTATTCTCAACCAGTGAGATTAATGTTTTCTGGAGGTCCCCAGCAAGATTCAGACCACCCACCCAAATTTTAAAGCTGGACTTTCACTCTGGAACTCCAGAGGCACATGCTCGGACTCTCGGGTGAACTGCTGTGCTGAGAAAGCATCAAGCATCTACAGAGGCCTCCTGGGGAGTCATAGTCTGTCCTGTTCTGTAGGATCCCAGTCTGGGACGGGGAGGGGGTTCCCATGGACCTCAGTGTTCTCCCATCAGGGCAAATAGTGAGACTTGGTTCTGGTTGGTTGGAAACTTTTGTCCGTCTGTCTGTCTGTTTGCCATCTCTGCCACCCCACCAGCCACCACCGAGCCATGGCTGCTTTTGAGTTCTCTGCTGGGTGGATTCGGGTTAGCAGGAGTTCAGATGTCTTTTGGTTGAGGATAACATTGAAGTTGTTTATGCTGTCCTACGTTATTGGAAAGCTGGCTCTGAAGGGGAATGATTGCTATCCCTTCTCTTTACGCAAGCACATTGAAGTTTCCTCTGTGTCCTCTGTCAGTTGAGCCACCTGGGGCTGCGACAGGGAAAGGAAAGCAGAGGAGCCACAAGTTAGATTTGGTTTCTGTGAACATTCTGTACCTCAAGTTAGCTTCAGCCTCATAACCTGAATGTGACAGCTAAAAATGTATGCACAGGTAATCGAGAAGGAACCATGGGACATGACTCTGTTTGGGGATATAAACAGCATGTGGTTTGCCACCTTCTTTAGGCAGCCTCCTGGTGGGCAGCCATCTTTGCCAGGGATGAAGACAGTTGATGTCATGTGACTTCATTTGCAGTTGTTATGTTTGAGCCTTTGGTAAATCTGCCTTGTCATATTTCAAGTAAGTTCTTGGTATTTGCAAATTTATAAATACATTTTTTATTGCTCTTAATATTCAATTCATAGTTTTATGTTCTACATATGTTCAGTTTAAAAAATGTGGATCAGATTTCTTTTTACTTTCCTTTGGTCATGTTTTTAATTGACATAATAGTTTGTTTGTTCTGTGCGGTTCAGGGAGTGATGTCCCACAGGCATACTTTCACTTTTGAATTAATGAGTAAATTAAGCATCTAGCAAACCAAAGTTAAAGAGTTAATAGTGGTAGGTAGGTTGAAGTGTTAATCTAATTAATCTTTATCAATAAAAATATTGGGAGTCGGGCTGGAGAGATGGCTCAGAGGTTAAGAGCACTGGCTGTTCTTCCGGAGGTCCTGAGTTCAATTCCCAGCAACCACATGGTGGCTCACAACCATCTGTAATGAGATCTGGTGCCCTCTTCCTGCAGGCAGAACACTGTATACATAATAAATAAATAAATCTTTAAAAAGAAAAATTGGGAGTCAGATACTGGGGTAAGAATCTGAAAGATCAGAGAACCAGTGACTTCCTACCTCTGCCATTCCTCCATCCAAAAGGGCCAAGATCCTCTCTCAGCCCCACCTTACGACTTCCTGTTTTTTCTCTCTACAGTCCTCCAATCCTCTATGGTCAGTTAGTGGCTGGTCCCACCCTCTAAGTCTAAGCACGCTTTATTTGTCAGAACATAATCAAAATATCACACAACATTTCCCCCTTGTTGTCTAAATAAAAGCAAGGGTTTTAGCTAACATAGTAAAACTATGTAAGTATAATAACTATATACAAGTATATACAGGCAAGAATTATATTAACAATGTCTAGTCTATTTGCATTTGATAAATTCAGAGAAAAAAAACTCCATTATCTATCCTATCTTGTTGAGTCCAAAGGGTTGTACCTAATTCACTTTCTTTCCTAACTTGCATTACCAACCCCAAATTATCTTTTGATGTCTCTAAACTTTATAAACTTTACACCTCTTTTGTGAGTTTCTTTTCGAAATTTGGTAACAAGGAAAACTATAACTATAATTGTGTAGTCTTCAGCTCCATCAGAGACCTGAGAAGGATATAAAATTACCCGAGTAAACAGGAAACACAGCAAACAACTTCCAAAATTAAGAAATGACAGAAACAGCTGGCTGCCTGGACAGTCACCCAAGGTTCCTCTGCATTGTTGGGGCATCCATCTTCAGCCTGCAGGCCTGGAATATCTGACATCCTTTTCTGTGAAGCAGGATTTTAAATGACTGCTCCACCTTGTCTTGGCAAAATTTTTACTTTCTTTTGTGTCCTGCTTGTGCAGTTTGGACAACATACTGTCAGCAGTCGAGGCAAGGGCATTTTTGGCCCAGTGGCTAACTTTGTCACAAAGAAAGCAAACTCCATATGGAGTTGCTTTGATGCTTATCATCTTCTCTGAAGTAGATTTGTGCTGCTGGGAGCAGACATGTCTCACTGCCATTTAAGAAAAAAGAACCTTATGTTATTAAAATGTCTTAAATGCCATATTCTGTAGATCTCTGAAGTGTTCTGAAGACCACCTGTCTGTCTAAAATATATCTGTTTGACTTTGAAAACATACCTAGCCTGACTGTAAGTTTGATTGTAATAGGTGACTAACTACTACCCTGCATTTATTATCCTAAATAGCTTGTAATAATAACTTTCAAGGACTAGAAATTTACGGTACATTGTTAAATGAGCTGTATAGGCATAATACCTTAAACAAGGGTAGTAATGTAAGTACAGTATGTTCTAACAAAAATAACCTTAAATTGGTTTTTTGTTTAAAAGTAGATGTCACTGTGTGTCACAACACGGGTATGTGGGTTCATGTGGATCCGTGGAATTAAGTCTCGGAGGCATCTTAAGAATGAATATAACCTTTCATGGCTGCGGGGGATCCAGCCTGGAAGGACTGAAGCACTATCCCTTTGCCTCGGGCATTTTTATTCTCGCTATTACAGTTTAGCCAGTTAATTTCCATATGCTCAAAACAACCTAAAAGGAGCTCCCAACAATATAATGCCAAGGGCAGATTCCTTGATTTCTCAGGTACCACGGCTTTCCAGGCACCTGTGGGGCAGTCAGCGGGTGGTTAAGGGCACCGGGTCATTGTTCCAGCTAATTCTCCAGGTCATTCTGTTCCAGGTAGCAAGTGAAGTCATGCTTGGTAAATATGCAGAACAAGCCGAGCTTGTTAGATCACTAAAGAGCTGGTCTTTTCCACCTTAATTCTACTTCACTGTGATTTGTGGTGAAACCTTCAAATCCTCTCTCCTGTCACTGGAGGTCTAACTACTTCAGGGTTCATATGAGCTACTGCAATTTCTTTTCTTTTTAAAAAGGTGTGGGGAGGGTGGTGCTCACACACGTGCACGTGTGTGGAGGCCAGAAGTTGGCATCGGGGTCTTCCACGGTCACTCTCCCCTGGTTTCTGAGACAGGCTCTCATTAGACCAGAGCTCTCCAGCTGCCTAGACCAGTGGACCAGCAGGCCCAAGTCCAAACTCAGGTCCTTGACTGACTGAGCCTCCCCCAGCCCCCGACTTCCTTTCCTGTTGCACCGTTTTCAACCCACCTCCTCCTCCTTTTTTTCAGAGAAATGGAAGGTGAGCTTGAAATGGTTCTGGAGTCCACTGCCAAGGAAAACCTCCGGATGCGAGGCCTTCTCCAGGCCACCCTGGAGAGGGGAGGCACACAGCGCACCAGAGCTCATGAGGACACTTGCCTCGGTGGCATCACTCAGGGGGACCTGCTGGTTGGCCACGATTTCAGCTATGGTGATGTGCAGCCTCCTCCTGCCACTGCCCGCCAGGGTCTGGGGGACTCTGTGGCATAGGCCTCCTCTTCTGAGGTGGACTTCCTCCAAACTGGTGAGTGCCTCCTCTTCCCAGGAGGGACAGTGTGACAGCGTGTGGAAGCCACTGACTGTCACAGCCAGAGGGAAATAAACCAGCCCGGCATCAAATGCTTTTCCATGTTTCTTTTTGGTTTTAGTTTTTCCTTTTTTTTTTTTTTTAATTTTAAGTGTTAGGTATTAAACCCAGGGGTCTCACAGGTGAGGCTTGTTTTCTGAGACAGGGTCTCACCGTGCAGCCCAGGCAGGCCTTGAACATTTGATCTCTGTGCCTTACCCTCCTGAGTGCTGGGATTACAGGGGTGCCCCATCACACGCCTCTCCACATTGTTCTTAAAGATGTGCTGCATTTCTAGTGAGATCACAGCCTCTGCTCACGCTGCCCCAGGCTGGCTCTGTAATGCCCATTGTGTCCAGGCTTCTAGCTGGGCAGCTGGGAAAGGCCTGGCAGAAATGGAGATGTCGTGTGCTGCCTGTGAGCCGAGCGGTGGAGACAGCAGCAGAAAGACTCGGTGGGCTTCAAACTGTGTGGCATCTCCCTAGGAGGTGACCCGGCAGATAACTGTGGTGTTTTCTCAAAGGACTTTACACCCCTGTCCCAAATCGAAGACAGCACAGCAAGTCCCAGACTGGCAGTGGCTTGTCTGCGGGAACACCACCCAGAGAATGGCTTCCTCCAGACATCCCAGACATCCCCAGGACGCATCGGGACCAGACAGCGGCTGCAGGTGGTGCAGTCCCTGCACGCTGCCCGCCTTCCTACTGGGTCATAGGAGACGGCCCACAGCACACAGCGCGGCAGACAGCCTGCAGGACAGGAGAGATCACAGGTTCTTCATGGAGGAGCTGGGGTGCCTGGCTCTGAAGACCCACTCAGGGTCAGCAGGGCGTTTTGTGGAGATCAGCTGGGAGAGGACACTGACGGGAGCTGGGACCCTGGCAGGGACCTTGTCCATTGATCCCTGTGATCTCGTCTGAACAGGAAACCATGCTGGCATTTCTGGGTCCTGGTGCACTATGTAGATGGGAAGATGGCCTCAGCTTCCACAGTGACCCACGCAGAAGAGTGTGGGGATCAGAAGTGACATCATAGCCGCTCACTTCAGCTAACAAAGAAGTGGTGCAGCCTATTTCCTGTTGATTTCTCTCGCAGTCAGAAAAGGGCGTTCTCTGGCCGTCATGATTTGGATCCCAAAATGTCTATTAAAGGCGTATGCAGGCAAAAACCCATGCACATAAATTATATATATAATATATGACATGTCTATATTAACAAAGTGATGGCAGTGTCCCCAGCTGGCGTCAAGGGGGTTCCCGGCTGCTTCTCCCCTCCCCCACTGACTGCCTTACAATGACTTACTGAGAGTCTTTGGTCCTGTGAGACTTCACACAGTTCCTGGACTCTTCCAGGTGCTTCAGGACGGAATTCAGAATCTAAGTGAACACACCATGCCTACCATGCCTACATCTTATTCCTACTTTACGTTTCTTGTGCCCAACTGTTAATCCCCCCAGGTGAGAATAAGACCACTACCTCAATTTTTGAGATAATTTGAAGCAAGCTTGATTTTTATGGCCTAAGAGCCGGCCAGCAACTGCCTCCCAAGTCAGGTTAGAGAGAGGGCAGCCCATTTCTTCTGTGTAAGCCCTGGCTGTTAGAATTCCTAGCCACCCCACCCCACCCCCCACCCCCACCCCCCTCCGCTGCATGACCTTAAGTGTCCTGGCAAGATGCTTAGTCATCCCAGGCCTCACGTCCTACGTAATCCCTGTACTGCGTGATCATGTAATTTGCGTGCAGTGTGATCACGTAAGCTATGCCCATGTATGGCGTAGCTACATAAGCCCATATGTGCATTGGGGGGGGGAAACCTATAAAAGCAGGTTCCACTTATCTCTCCCCCCTCTTCCTGCACGGTCATTCCGTAGGCCTATGTACATCTTTCCTATTTCCTTCCCTTAATAAACTCTTATAGTGGGTTTTGTTGTACCTTGTGGCTCTTCTCACATGGTAACAGCTCTCCTGGAACTCAATTTGTAGACCAGGCTGGCCTCAAATTTACAGAGATTCTCCTGCCTCTGCCTCCTTAGAGCTGTTATTATAGGCATGTGCCACCGCTGCCTGACCCTGAGCCCTTTAAGGCACCTTTTAAGGAATCAAATCACAAGTAGTTGTAAAGCAGGTTTACAGAAGCCAGGCAATATGAGGAATAGTGAGGAAATACAGAAAAATCTCAAAACACAGAACAAACCCAAACATCCATCACCATACAGTCACCATGTGGCCACTGATTAGGGAGAGTCAGCGTGTTCTCAAAAATAAGACAAGGTTAAGGGTTGGGGCAGGTTCCAGAAAACAGAAATTCAGCTCTTAAGGTAAATAGAAATTTATTTTTAACAATACAATATAATGGCTTCTGCCTTCAAAATGGAGCTAGGCAGGTTTTTTATTGTCAAGTGACGGTGAGAAGGATTTGTGACTTAATGAATTGAACTTCATGAATATAGGCTCAAACTCGGAAGGTGCTGTTGCTGTGTTTGGATGTGTGCTTCTCCATGGCTTCATGTGTTCAAGGCATGGCACTCCGTGGTGGTTGTATTGGGAGGCAGTTGGAGATGTCCCATCGAAGAGACCACAGGACGCTGGCCTGGGCAGCTGTGTGTTGCTGGTCGTCCACTCCTCCCCCAACACAAACACTTCTGCCATTGCCCAGATGTGACCAGCCCCAAAGCCAAGCTGACATCAGCACCTTACCCTTGAGCCTCCATAATCTCCTAATCCTAGCCTGGGACAGCTTCCAGGTTCTTCTGCAGCCATCCGTCTTCTTGGACAAGATGCTGCCAGGAGCTGCCATGTCTCCCTATCAAAAGCTTTTATATTAAATGCCATGTTCTCAAATATCTACAGGTGTTTGAGGACTGGAAGAACAAAATCTGTTAGATGTATTTAAATTAACTTTAAGAGCATATATATATATATATATATATATATATATATATATATATATATATATATATATATCTTGGTATACAGGTTTCCCAGTTAGTTACAACTTAATGAAATTAGCAAGGACAGGAAGGCTTACATTCTTAAGCCTGAATAGACCTTGAGTAAGGAGAGACATTTTTTAAGCAGTTGTCAGTGATATCTGAATCTTTACCATTTTTAAAGCCCTGTATCGGTAGTTCTGATCTTTGAGTACAGCCAGATTATAATCCTGGATGATTTATATAGAAACAATTATTTCTTAAGGTCATACAATACCTCCCTGGTTCTGCATAAAGAGGGTCAAGTGTCTTATTGCATTATTGGGTCCAGTTTCCTGGTATACCAATGGGATTAGGTGGCCATTTGGTCCCCTATGCCAGGGGTTCCATCCTTAACTTAGCCCTCTAGGCTGACCTGGGAACAGGGAGCATAGGATTATCAGGACCCTGGCTAGTCAAAGTAAGAAGGGAACCCAGGCAGTGGGGTATTTATCTGGAGTATGTGGTCTTCTGACCTAGCTGTAGAGACAGGAAATACTTTTGCTGGACTGGTATCTCATAGGTTGAAGTCAGTAGCCAGCCGATACCTGGATGTGTCAATCAGCAAAATGGAAGCCCACTGAAACAGATACAGACTAGAGACAAAGTTAAAATTTTATAAACAAGATTTAAAATTTTATGAATTTATTTGGAAACTCTTAGCCCTTGGTCTTAGTAATTGGGAAAGGGAGACCAGGAGGGAGAGAAATACCATCTTCAAGAATAGACAGGTGAGGAAAACACATTTATCTGGAGTTTGTATGGCCTGATGAGAAGTTTAAGTTTGTATTTAGAAGACAACCAAGGAAAATTTAAAGTCCTGAGCTTGTGACCCAAACTGTATCAGAATTGTATTAATGTTAAAATCTGAAATTTTAAAAATCTTAATATGATGTTGCCTGCATATGGTTCTGCTGATGCCCCAGAGGAGTGCATATGTCTCCAGGCCCCACCCACATGAGCTGCTGTGGTGGAACAAATGCCAGATAGAGACTGTACCTCCACCCCGCCCAGCTGGCTAGAGTGCTGGGAGCCCCGCCCATCCGCGAGCCACTGACAGGAAATAGCTTTTTGCTGCCCTTAGTAAAGATGGCAGTGAGGTCATATGACCTGTCTTTGACCTTAGCAAAGATGGCCTCTGCCAGACCATGTGATGGCCCTTATCAAATATACCTCACATTAACCAGTAACTGAACAGTTTGCAAAGTCTGTAGATTCACTGAGCTAAGTATCGGAAGTGGAGCAGATTTAATTTCCTGGATTACCTGATCAAGAATGTCAGCAGACATGTCATCTATTCTTCTGCGGACAATGTCCTTAGATAAGTAAACTAAACTGCACTCAGTTGCATGGCAAACTCGTTTCTGATCATAACTTGGTCACTGGCAACAGTAAATCCTCAGCAAAGGTGTGAGGTCTCATAGCTCTGACGATTCTGAATCGCCACCAAATATGCAGCTTCAACAGCTGCTGCATTCTGTGTCTGGTACCAGCTGTTAATCCCACCAGTAAAGAATCAGACCACTACCACACTTCACAGCCAGATTTGAAGCAAACTAATTAAATACTGGCCAGGTAGATGGGCTCTGGCCAGGTCCAGACCAGGTTCCCAGGAAATGGTCCAGAATCACAGTTTGTAGTGACTTAAGAAGGAAAACCCATAATCCATTGAATTTCCCATCATGTCCAATCAGGGGCAAGCATACATCCTGACGAACCCCCATCCTATGAACTCTGCCCACATGTGATCAAGCACATCCTGTACAGATCGGTCAAACAGACTTGTTTAGTGAGTGAAAACATGTGGCTTGTTATCTCCCATAAACGTTAGCCTCCAGCATTTCAGGACCTGTCTGTCCTTGGGCAAGGGACTTGCAGATCAGAGGCATTTTTGTGTCATGGATCTCTTAGGCATAGTAATTAAAACTTAAACTGTAACTTTGGCTCTCACGTTGGCCACCAGTGTCTGGCTTTCTTAGTCCATCAGCTTTGCTTCTAAAGTAGTTGGTTTCCTTGCCAGCAAATCTCAGATGCTTGCTATCAAAATGTCATTTTAAAGCCTGATGGTGGCAGTACACACCTTTAATCCCAGCACTTGGGAGGCCGAGGCAGGTGGATCTCTGTGAGTTCGAGGCCAGCCTGGTCTACAGAGAGAGATCCAGGACAGGTACCAAAACTACACAGAAAAACCCTGTCTTGAAAACAACGACAACATAAATGGTGTTTTAGTTTGTTCAGCTTCATAGATTTGGCTGGTAGAACCTCACAACAAATAACACATTGCATTTTCTCAATTCTGCTGTAATTATTGAGGTAAAACCACACAGTAAAAAATCCTCACTATGTTTTCTTTTCTTAACATTTTTCTCTACATGATCCATTGTCAAAGGATGGTTTTCTAATGAAAATAATATATAACAATAGCTTTAATAATGCAAAAGATGGTACATGGCATAGTTCAGTCAATACAGTTCATTAAAGTTTCCTATGATTAACCATTCTCTGTGGTTTTTTTTTAATATAATATACCTGTTCCTATCACAAGGGGGAAGTATTCACATCAACCACAGCTGAATATAAAAAGAACTAACCTCCATGGTACAGGTGTTTTGGTAGTAGTTGATGATTTTCCCGTACATGATTTTACATTTGCCCAGGAATTATAATTCATGGTGTGTTGTTTTACCCCCAATACTGTTGCTTCCAACACAGTAGCTGTTCTTTACATATGTGTGACTGGTTCACATAAGTACTTCCAACACAGTAGCTGTTCTTTACATATGTGTGACTGGTTCACATAGGTAAGTACATTGTGGTGGTTGCAAAGAAAATGCCACAAAGGGAGTGGCACTATTAGGAGGTGTGGCCTTGTTGGAGTGGGTGTGGCCTTTTGGAGGAAGTGTGTCACTGTGGGGTGGGCTTTGAGGTTTCCTATGCTCAGACTTCATTCAGTGTGGATGAAGATGTGGAACTCTCAGCTCCTTCAGCACCATGCCTGTCTGCATGCTGCCATGTTGATAATGGACTAAACCTCTGAAACTGAAAGTGAGCCACCCCAACTGAATGTTTTCCTTTATGTGGAGGCCCACAAAGGTTTCCTAGTGAGATCTGAACTTGCTTTACCCAGCAGGGCTGCATTAGAGGATTCCTTGACCACGTGTGTGGTTACCAGATATTTGGAAGGGTTTGCCCTTGGCTGTTGTAGGGGGAGGTCTTTGCTCCACCCCTTGGCATTCCTATAATAAGCCCTTTAGAAGAGACAGAAGGGGCCAGTGGATAAAGATCCAGGCCCTCCTGAGGCTTCCTGTGTTTCTCTCTCTCCCCTCTATCCTTCTACCTCTATATTTCTACCTCAAGCTCTTATCCTTCTCTCTTCAATAATTTCCTGTCATAAATGTGGGAGCTGGTCTCCCATACCTTTATAAGAGCTGCTGTGTGGTGGTGGCACACACCCTTAATCCAATCACATGGCAGTCAGAGTCTCTGTGTGGTCAAGGACACAGCCAAGTGTGGTGACCCGGACCTTTAATCCAACCATAGATACCTGGAGGTCTTTATAGACAGGCAGTGACAAGGAAGTCATGTGGTTGGGTTTAGAGCCAATGAGAAGGCAGAACAGAAAGGCAATAAAAAGACAGTCACATAGGAAGAAGGTCTCTCTCTCTGGGGAAGCAGCAAGTGGTAAGCTAAAAGCTATTCGCTAGTTCTCTGATCTCTTGGGCTTTTCACTCTTAAAACAAAAAGAGTTGCTGTGGTCATGATGTTTCTTCACAACAATAGAAACCCTAAGACATACATTATGTTGCCAACCCTATCACATATACCTGTATTTGTTTGAGGTGTATGTGATGAGGTTGGTGTGATGATGTCATCGTGCTGGGTACTTGTGTGTGGCATACCTGCCTGGAGACAGGGTGGTGTCTCAGTTCCCAAGACTATCAGAAATAGATGGGTTTGGTTTGTTTGGTTTTCGAGACAGGGTTTCTCTGTGTAGCTTTGCGCCTTTCCTGGATCTCGCTCTATAGACCAGACTGGCCTCGAACTCACAAAATCCGCCTGTCTCTGCCTGCCGAGTGCTGGGATTAAAGGTGTGCGCCACCACCGCCAGGCAGAAATATGTTTTTTGATGGGCTTAGGTGACCCCTGTGAAAGGGTCGTTTGATCTCCAGGTGGAGAACTGCTGCCCTGGGTGATTGGCTGCAGTAGAGAACTGACCTCCAGGAAGTGCAGTGCCAGCCAGTTTTTCAAGGTCTTGGGAAAAAAAACTGGGAATGTTTATGTTTTTAAAAATCAAATCCATATGATTTCCAGTGAGATAACCCCCGTATCTGGTTAACTATACTATGGGGTGGAAGTAGATTGAAAACTGGCATTAAAAAATAATCTCACAGGGCTGGAGAGATGGCTCAGAGGTTAAGAGCACTGGCTGCTCTTCCAGAGGTCCTGAGTTCAATTCCCAGCACCCACATGGTGGCTTATAACTGTCTATAACTACAGTTCCTAACACCTTTACACAGGCATACACATACAGGCAAAACACCAATACACATAAAAAATAAATGAATAAATAAAAAATATAATAATCTCAGGCCAGGCGATGGTGGTGCATACCTTTAATCCCAGCACTCAGGAGGCAGAGGCAGGCAGATCTCCATGAGTTTGCCAGCCTGGTCTACAGAGTAAGTTCCAGGACAGCCAGGGCTACACAGAGAAACCCTGAAAACATAAATAAATAAATTAATTAAAAAAAAAAAGAATCCCAGTACTTGGGAGGGACAGGCCAGCTTGAGCTACAGGAAACCCTATCTGGCACACACAGACACATATACACACAGGACACACATACATACACAGACACACAGACACACAGACACACAGACACACACACACACACACACACACACACACACACACACACACACACAGGAGAGGGAGACAGTGTTTATCACA